GTCAAAGCATTTTACAAGTTAGAGGCAAAATGGTGGTATGCTTTGGTTTAGGACTTTCATCCTTTGAACGACCTGCATAACTGCACATATGTAGAGTTTTCCTTCCTTTCCAGATACTTCAATGGGGAATTAAGCCCCAATTATCCATCTTCCTCTGCATTCTGACATATTTTAATACAAAATTTTATATTGCTAGTTCTTTCTGGAAAATTGTGTCATCTATTCACATCTATACTATTACATAAACTGCACACCGTTTAAGGGTGAGAACAAGTTTATTTCTGTATTCACCAGATAAGTGCTTAGTAAATCCTTAAGCTAAATATTGATCATGCACATGAAGGACTTAGAAATTAGGCGAAGGGAGATATGCTTGATTTTATGAGGAATAGGAAATAACTGGTATTTATTTTGAGCAAAGAAGTACAATCACATTGAAATAAGGTAAATCTGATTATCTTAAGTATGCAATTTCAGCAGGACTTGACTCCACCATAATATCGGAGGGCAAGAAATGGGTTTTTCCTGGATTCTCTTCTCTTTTCTCTCTACCCTTGCTCCCAGGGTCATTTCATCCAGTCCCATGACTTTTTTTTTTTTAAGATATACTTATTTATTTGAGAGAGAGAGAGAGAGAGAGAAGGAGCACGTGAGCAGGGGGAGGGGCCAGGAGAGAGCGAGAGAATCTCAGGCAGACTCCCCACTGAGCATGGAGCCTGACACAGGCTCCTCATGTGGCTTGATCTTAAGACCCTGAGATCACAACCTGAGCTGAAATCAAGAGCCGGGTGCTTAAGAGACTGTGCCACCCAGGCACCCCATCCCATGACTTTTGATACTATCTATGTGATATGTGTCACTGACAGACAATGACTCCCAGCTTTCCACCTGCAGTCTCAACTTTTCCTTGAGCTCACTCTGATGCTTCACTGATGACTCCCTTGGATATCTAATAGGCACAAGAAATTTATGCCCCAAACAGAACTTGTGAATTGCCTTCCCAAACCTGTTCTATCCCACTCCCATACTCCTTCTTAGTATCAATAACCATTATCCAACATTGTTCCAGCCAAAACCCAAATGACCCTTGATTCCTCTCTTTCCCTTATGAGTCCTTTTCACACCTAAGAAAGCCCATTAGCAAGACTCATTAGTTCTTCCTGTAAAATATATCCCAAATCTAATTCCCTCCATCTCTACTGCCACACTGCATTTCAAGTAACACAAACCTTTCAGTGGTTTCCTGTTACACATAAAGTAAAATCCAAACTTCCACCACGTGACCTACAAGTCCCTTCATGATCTGGTAGCCCTGGGGTTGCATGTGGCCATATAGGTCATGCAATACACAACCTTCTAGGGTCCTCCACATATCCTCATTCTTAGTCACTCTTTGTCAACCCTTTTAGTGTCATTCCCTCACATTCTCTGTGCTTATCCCTCCCCCCCATTTCTTTAGGCCTGAATCCCAACTCTTCATTTACCTCTTGGTCCCTACCTTTGTTCCATTATATATACATGTCCAGTATTCTCAATATTTTAGCAGAAGAATGTCTTTACTCATTCACTGAAACTGAAATCTAACTTCCCTCAAGGACAGCACTTCTCCTACTCTTTCTATACCAGATGCTCACCATTTCCCTTCACCCTCTTGTACTGTAGAACTGGGAGGTAGCATTGCCATTTCCCTGGCTATTGTGGGCCACCACTGGACCATTATGGTTCCACTTTCCTGTGAAAATCCTCCTTGCCTGTACTTGGCACCCTCATTTACTACCTCTACTTTTCTCTCTTCATGTCCCCTCATTCACTGATATAATGTTGGAGTCTGACCCACAATCTTCCTTTTCTCTACCAATTGGCATCATGAGTGACTTGCACATCCTGCTTGTCTCATATTTTTTGATCTCCTAGAATCTAATTATTCAGCAACGTCCATTTACTCCACTTTATCAATCCACATTCAAAGCCATGCTCTGGATCCTATTATATCACAAAACTGTTCCTTCCTTGAATTTTAGGTGCCAAGCTATTTTCTTTGACCCCAATTTCATATTCTCCACCCCCTTTTAGATTCCATCTCATTTTTCACTTTTCTGACACTTGTCACTGTCAATTACTCTGTCCTCTTTGAAACTTGTTTCCTCCGTAAGTCTACTCACTGGTTTCACTTCTTCAGCAGACCTGGAAATGTTGCTCAGAGATCTGTCCATCACTCTCATTGTCTTTCTTTTTTGTGCTCTCTTTAAGCAATCTCAAGCACACCTGTTTGCCGATGATTCCCAAATTATCAGACTCTCTTCTGCAATCCACAGTCTTATATCCAACTGCTTACTATATGTTTCCACCAGGATGTCCCACAGTACCTTCAAAACAATGAATCCCCACACCAAATAGGATGGCTAATATCAAAACAACAAAAGAAAATAACAAATGTTGGTGAGAATGTAGAGAAATTAGAACCCTTATGTCCTGTTGGTGGGAATCTAAAATGGTACAGCAGCTATGGAAAACAGAGGGCCCTGAAAAAAATTAAAAATAGAATTACTATATGATCTAGCAATTCTGCTTCTGGGTACATATCTAACAGAACTGAAAGCAGGGTCTCAAAGCGTTATTTGTATACCCATGTAACTAGCAGCACTATTCACAATAGTCAAAATGTGAAAGCAATACAAATGTCTATTGACAGATGAATGGATAAAGAAAATGTAGTATACCCAATGATATATACAATGGAATAAAATTCAGCCTTAGAAAGGAAGAAAATTCTCACATATGTTAGATGAACCTTGATGATATTATGCTAAGAGAAAAAACCAGCCATTGGGAAGAGGAAATGGGTAGTTGTTGTTTAATGGATATAAAGTTTCAGTTTCACAAGATGAAAATTCTGGAGATTGGTTGTATAATATTGTGCAAATACTTAACTATACTGAACTGTGCACTTAAAAATGGTTAAGATAGTAAATTTTATATATTTTGCCACAATTAAAAACAAAACAAAAAACTGTGTCCTAACTGAACTTAATACATTTATTCCTCAACCTGCTTCTCTTCTGGTTTTCCAAATCTAAGGGACAGCCATTTACCAGTCATCCAGGCAGAAAACTGGGTATGAATCTGAAATTCTCCCTCTGCCTCATCCTTTTTGTCAATCCAGTCACCAGACTTTTTGGTTCCATTTTCTTAACATCTCTTTATATATCCCATGCTGTCTAGCCCCTCTGTGGGTACCCTTACCTGTTCTCACCCAGAGTTGTTGCTGTGACTGCTTTCTAAATACTCTCCCTGTCCTAAATCTTGCTCATTTAAGCTATTTTCCATTTAGAATACTTCCCCCCAAAAAACTCCATATGTGAACAAATTATATTCACTCCTAACAATACTTTAACTGTACTCCATAGGCTGCTACTACTTAGAATAAAAAATAAGACTCACTCTGATCTAGTCCCTTTTTACTAGTTCAGAGCTCCTGTTTCAGTTTGGGCCTCTCTTCATACAATATATTCCAGCTATACTAAACTGTTTGTAGTTCTAGAGAACGTGTTGTGTGCCTCTATACCTTTGTCCATGCTGCACTCTGTGTTTGAGCTGCGAGGAATGCTCCTCCCCATCCTGTCCACCTGGTGAACACCTGGTTTTCTTGGAAGACAAGTCAAAACTCATGTCTTATATGAAACTTCTGACCACTTCCCTTTTTCCTTCACTCAATCAGAATTTATTTTTCCTCCTTTGTAACTCTTATCCATTAAACAAATTATTGCTTCTGTAACTTTATATTGCATTTGCTTTCTTTACATATGTGGGTCTTTTATTTCAGATCCTTTTGATGGCAAGACTGTGCCTTATTTCTATTTATATTCTCAATGCCAAACACAGTGTCTGCAATATTGTACATGTATATTAAAAGTTGGTTGAATATATCACTTATTATATGGATATAAATGGAAGATTTATTGATCATTTAGTCAACAAACATTCATTGAAAACTTGCATATTTTCTAGTGTTGGAGAAACGAGGCCTCTAGTGCACAATTTTGTAGGAAAACAGGTATGCTAAAACTTACCTCATGATATGGCAAGTACTTAGCTGAGGTGAAAATTCTTCATGGATCAGGGAATTTATTAACCATTGTGCCTTTGGAGCCTATGTCAGTGACTATACTTAGTGTTCAATAAATAGTGGTTGAATTGAACTAAACCTGTGAAACATTCTGTGCTCAATCTGTTGACTTAATTGTGCAGGTATATAATGTTCCAGGCAGGGATTAGGTGGAGAGAAATTGAGAAATCATGAAGGATTTTGGTGCCATTATAAGCAGTCAGGCTGTAGCCTGCAAGCAATTGGGCTAGGAGAGGCTTTTAAGCTGGAAAATGGTAGGGCCAGCTCAGTTCATTAGGAAGAAAAACTAAATTGGTGGGAGAAGAGATTAAGACTGGGAAATGATAGGGGATCATTGCTATTGCCCAGTTGAGTGATGATGTTGGATTAAGCCAGTGATGGCAAGGATGGAAGGGCCGAAGGGGCTGGATTCTAGGATTTTTGAAGTAGACGAAGATTTAGTGCCAATGAGATGAGGGAAGATGGAGAAAGTGAAAACGAGACCAGTAGGTTTTTCATGAGGCTTGAGCGCTATAACGTATGAGACAGCCATTTATAAACTACAAAACATTACATATCACTTGGTTGTTTTTATCTTCTCTGGCGTTTCTTAGTTTAGATGGGCAGAACGACTTTTAGAGATGTGTTCAGATCCAAAGAAAATAATAAATTTCGGAATAGCTTTTACTATTCCCGAGATTTCTGGAGATGCAGGGAAAGGTAATCCGAGCACAGAGAAGGAGAGGAAAAGAAAACAGTTGAGCTATTCACAGACCTTTCCACTCAGCCGGGAGCGACGGAGCCCTGCCCACTTCTTCCCAGCCCCACCGTTCTTCCGCGCGTTCTCCTCGCTAGCCAATCACGCTCCGTCTACGTCATCAATGTGCGCCGACACTGGACAAGTCGGCGGCAGCACCACGTGTACTGTGTTGACTGTCAAAGCGTCAAGGAGCCCAATTCCCGGAAGCTGTGAGTTCTAAAAGAAGTTCCTGTACTCTAGTGTCCCGGCTCTGCGAACCCCAATCATGAGCGCCCCGGGAGTGCTCTCCTTTACCCAGCAAGGTTGGGAGCAGGTGCTGGCCAAAGTGAAATGGGCTCTGGTCTATCTGGACGCCGCCTGCGCGGAGAGCTTGCACTGGGGCTGCGGATCCACGCGACTCCTGGAGGCGGTGGGAGATCCTGCGTGTCACCTGCGGGAGTTCGAGCCCGCAGCTGTCGGTGGTGGAGCCGAGCAGCCTAAGGCGGTGTTTGTGCTGAGCTGCCTGCTGAAAGGCCGGACCGTGGAGACCCTGCGGGATATCATCTGCCGCAGTCACTTCCAGTATTGTGTGGTGGTCACAGCCGTGAACCACGCTGTCCACCTCACCGCTAATCACGTGCCGGCGGCTGCAGCGGCGGAGCTGGAAGGGCAGCCGGTGTTCGAGCAACTGGAGGAGAAACTGTGTGAGTGGATGGGCAATATGAACTACACGGCCGAGGTGCTGCACGTCCCGTTTTTGCTCGCACCTGTTGCTCCCCACCTTGCCTTGACTCCAGCCTTTGCTTCCCTTTTTCCACTGCTACCCCAGGATGTGCATCTCCTTAACAGTGCCCGACCAGACAAGAGGAGGCTAGGAAGCCTGAGTGAGGTGGATGCCACTGCCCTGCCCCCTGAGCTGCTTCTGCACATCAGGTGCCTGGTGTCAGGCCTCAGTTCTCTGTGTGAGCATTTAGGGGTGCGGGAGGAGTGTTTTGCTGTAGGTTCCCTCAGTCGGATCATCGCTGCAGATCTGGCTAATTATGGCCCTGCCAAGAACAGGAGGAAGACTGCCACAGGCAGGGCATCAGTGGTCTTTGTAGACAGAACTTTGGATCTCACGGGTAAGTGGAATTGCTATGGGTCTTCCTAACCTAACCTCCAAGGTTCTGGGACTTTCACTGATTCAGCATATATTTTATTGACTCTTACTGTAAGTCAAGTTGAGGATACAAAGATGAGCTAGATGGACACAGTCCCTGATCTCATAGAGTTTGTCATCTAGAGTAGAATGCAGACAAGCAAATTACCAATTACAATTCATTAATTCGTTAGATGCTGTAATGGGTAAATACATCTTTAACACGCACTGTTTTGTTAAACAACTACATCTAGCCAAAGATATTGGAGAAATTATGCTGACATTGAGAACTGTACACCTGGGTACTTTTTAGAAATGTGCAGATGTCAGTATTTACAATAATCCTGCATAAGAGGGCTCTAATTTGTTGGAGAGGTGTTGACAGATGAACCAGTGGAAGGAAAACTGTACAACAATACATGAAATTATCACAGACAGTTTAGTTTTAGGTTTCTTTAAATGAGTGTTAATAAACTTGAAGTATTACCAGAAATTGAGATTAAATACAATTGTAGAAAATACTTTCAAATGTTCATTGATTTACTCTTAGCTGTCATTCTACTGAAGATTGGGTAGATCGTCTCAAATTTTAATAATGTATCAATTATTTATATGCATAGAGAACAAACATAATCCTTAACATAGATGAAGAAAAAACACTTTCTGATAGTGACATGTGCATATTGTCAAAGGTCAACTTTATTGTTCTCTAATTAGGTAGATATAGTGCTGCTAGTAGTATAGTCTGGCCACACCCAAATTCAGGGAGAAGGATCAGGAAACTGACATAGGTAAACATTCTCCTTAGTAGGTTGGAAAAAAAGTAGAATGAAGTTATAAAAAAAACCACAATAGCTGTATTTGAGTTTTTGACCTTATAAGATTAATTTTCAGATCATAAAATAGTAAGCTAAGTGGTAATACTGAGATGTAAGCTTAATCATGTGACCGGAAAAACAGGTGTCTAGTCTGTCATTGTGATTTAAGTATAAGTAAAAATTGTAGCATCCCAGAACTAGAGAATTAAAATCACCTGAGGAGTTTATGCTTGCTGAATTTTTGAGTGTGTGGTATATACTGTTTATACTTCTACTTTCTTATGCCCCAAATATGAATTGTTTAATAATTAATCAGAGTCACTTAGTGTTGTTTCACCCCCCTCCCCCATGACTTCAGTTAGGCAGACTTTAATGTGCTGGCCCTCCAGCATCATGGTAACAGCTCTTTTAAGTCTTGACATGCCTTCCTTGTATATGATTCTTGAAAATAAAAGCCATCAGAAAACTTTCATATCTTCCCATCACCAAATTACCAGCCTTTGTACATTTGTACAACATTTTTTCTTCCCTTCCTTTGTATTTTTTTTTTAAGATTTTATTTATTTGACAGAGAGAGAGAGAGAGAGCGAGAACAGGAACACAAGGAGGGGGAGTGGGAGAGGGAGAAGCAGGCCTCCTGCTGAGCAGGGAGCCCGATGTGGGACTCGATCCCAGGACCCTGGGATCATGACCCGAGCCGAAGGCAGACGCTTAACGACTGAGCCACCCAGGTGCCCCCCTTCCTTTGTATTAAAAAGAGATGTACTGTCCCTGCTACTATCTAATGCCAACTTCTTCACCTTTGCAGACTAGGTCCTCTCCCTTTTCACTTCCCTCATAGACTGACCTCTGTCACATACCCTACCCTGTTCCTAGATCATCATTTCAGAAAATCTTTTTTCCTGGATTTTCCTGGTCAACATACAAATGGAATGTAACATCTCCTTCCTTAACACCTCATGCTCCTCCAACTTGTTTTATTTTTTGCTCCATTTTACAGCAAACTTGAAAGAGTTGTCCATACTTGCTATCTCTGCAATCATCTGCTCCAATTTTCCCTCGATTCCACTTCAGTTACGATTTCCCCTCCGCAGTACTTCCCAGCAATTTCCTCTGTCAAGATCACGCGTGGCCGCCATATTGCCAAATCCAGTGTTCAGTTATCAGGATTCATCTTACTCAGTCTCAAAGCAGCATCTGACACAGCGGAGTAGAGGATTCAAAGAGTTAAAAATAATAAGAAGAAAATAAAAGATGCACAAAAGATATACAGATACATAGTTTCTTGTGTAACTCCATCAGAATGTAAATCTGACATGTCATTTGTTTGCTTACAGCCCGCTCACAGCCCTCCCACAGCCTTCTATCACACCTACTGTCAAGTCCAGTTTCCTTACCATTGTTTTCAAGGCCATACGTGACCTGCCTGCATGTAGCTTTCCTACCTTGTCTCCCACTGATCTCCCCTCACAAGTTACTTTCCAACCACGCTGCCCACCTGGCCATCCCTCAACATGCCAAGTATGTTCCAGCTTCAGGGCCTTTGGAGTTCTTCTGCAGCTCAGCTTGGAATGTTCTTCCTTCAGGTATCTACATGGCTTTCTTGTTCACTTCCTTTGAATCTCTGCTCAGATTTCTGCTTCTCAAACAAGCCTTCCCTGACCACTTTCTTTAGCTACTCTGTTCCCCTAATTGGCATTAGTTTGTTCCTATGGTCCTAGTAACTTATAAATTAAAGTTCTTTTTAATGGATACCTTTTGAATAACCACTCAAACTATCTTCGAGATGAACAGATTAATGATTCATTTGTGTCAAAGATGTTTCAACATAGTGTTATCATCCCATGTTGGTAATATTCAGGGCTGATTTTCAGTTGGTACATGGCTGTGGTGTAAAAATTTTTAAACATTAAAATTTTTCTGTATTATTGAGTAAAGAGAAATCCTCTACTTATTGGGACTACAAGTCACCCAATGCTGTTGCCTGGTGGAGAAGAGCAATAGGGCCTAGGAGAGTGCTGGTGTGGACACAGCTGGTCCTCCAGAGCTGCTGAGGGTACTGAGGCAGCAAGGGTGGTTGTGATGGTTGTGGAGATGCAGCACTCCACAAGTGCTCCAAGGTGGCCCCGAACTGCATGGGGTGGCATAGGTGGTTTGGTGGCCTTACAGTCGTCATGGGTGCTCTCTGTCCTTGGTCCAGACTCTGATGTCCAGGAACATACCTGATCACCATGCTCAAATTTTTTTCTGATCTGTCTTGAATGTAACAAGCATAAGGAGCTGGGGAGTCATAACAATGAATTTAATAGAGAAGCTGTTACAAGAGTTTGGTGTGGATCTTACATCAAACTGTGACTTAGATTAGTGCATTGTTTAGCCAGTGATAGTTGCAGCAAACCAAAGATTACACCAACAATTTCTAAAAATTAAAAGCTGATTTGGGAATTATTGGAATGACTTGAATGGTCTGAATTTCAATTTAAATTACTTGACAGCAGTTTTAATATAGAGATCAAAAAGAAATATATTTTTAGGTTTTGATTTAGGTGTGAATATCCATAAACACATATTAACTTTTTATTATTAGTTGTTAAATATTTTGGCTAACATCCTTGATAATTTACCATTAAAAGATTTATATGCTTATACATCTTCTTAGATGTAAAATTAGCACTATCAAGAATAACCTCCAACAATTCATAAATATCCAACATTCTTAACATCCTCCTTACAGTACAGACAAGTTTCTTTCTCATCTTCTTGTCATCATCTTTGCTGAAAGTAATATTAATTTGTCTAATATTTGGTTTATTTTTTTCAGCAAACATTTATTGAAGGCCTACTGTGTGCCAGGATTGTTCCAGGTCTAGGGAAACAGTGATGAACAAGATAGACAATTTCCTTGCTCTCCTGAAGCAGTTGATAAGCTCTCAGCACTTAAAAACATAGAAAGTTTGTTGTAATTATTTGAGAAGTAAATGGTCGCTGATGTCTGTTTGCTATGATTTGGCTTACTTTTACCCTGTGTAGACCACCCAGAAGCTTGTGTCTCTGCAGACAGAGTACGTCAGGCATGTTTGCGTAGGGGATTTAAGCACAATATTCTATGGACTGTTCTGGCTTCTGATTTGTTTCAGGGGAATTAAATTAAATTAAATTAGGTAGATGTGATTTATGAATCTCTAAAAGATTTGAGTCTGGTTTCCTTTCCATTCTTTTTTGGCTCTTAGGATTGACTAGAGTGCTTCAAGTCCAAAATAAAAAGATAGGAGGTGGCAGTAACTCTGGGAATTAAATTTCTTCTCCTGGTTTAATTCTTCTGAATTTTAGTTTCATGTAAACTTTTAAGTTAAATCAATTCAATTAAAGATTAACTGCCAATACAAAGGGTGGCTCCTATTCCTGGGATTATGATACAGTGATGCATTTATATTTGCTTTAAGGTGTGTATATTATTTGTTAAAGTATTGAAATTTGAGACTATTAATAGTTAACATTTGAGAGCATATTACCTTTCTCAGCACTCTATATATCTAAGCTCTTTTAATTTTCACAATAGTTTTTTGAGGTATTATAATTATCCCCATTTTACAGATGAGGAAGCAGAGAAATTGAGGAGTTAAGTAGCTTGCCCAAGATCACGCAGCTAGTAAGTGGCAGTCAGGATTTGAACCTTGGCAGTTTACTCCAGAGCTTATGCTCATAATCCATCTTATATATGTTACTACAGAGAAAAGTTTGAGAAGCCTTGTCCTAAATAGTACAGATTCTGCTGCAAGGGTGTCCAGAAGCTAGCAGCTTCAGAGACTAAACACAGTTGTTGGGCCCTGGTGCTGCCTTAGTGTTCAGAAAAGTGACTTTTTCTTCCCCAAATCTGATTTTCCACAAAATACAAAATAATCAAGCAATATCTTCATTTTAGAGTTCAGTGGATACTATTTAAAATAAACATAAGTGGAGACATGATTTAGAAGCCCTTTAAGGCTCTGATTAGATGGCTGGTGTTAGATCCAGGCCCATATAATAATTTCACGTCCTGGCTTAGTAACTTAGTTGTTGTTTGATCTTCATTGAACCTTTTGAGGGTTTTCTTATTTGTGAACAGGGTAAAATAGTGACCTTAAAGTGCTGTTGGAAGGATATGAAATCATTCATTCATTCATTC